GCGCAACCCCTTGGAGAAACAGGCTGCCGCGTAGAGAGTGCAGTGACATATATTATATAATACACATATCTAGGAAGCGTTTCGATCCGGAACTCTTTTCCCACAAAACTTTCTTCTTACCAGCTTCACTCCCCCTTCAAGGTCTACCACCCTAAAGAAAGAAAAACAATGACAGAAAGAATGGAAGACAGAAGAAGAATCAAAACTTGCCTTGAAAAGGTCAGAAACGACACTGGACCTAGAAGACTTGGCTTGAGCCTCAGTATCAACAGTGAAACATTAAATCATTGATGCTTATGTTATATTGGGCATAATGTTGTGTAACATGCATGCAACATATAAAGAGGGTCACGCCGCCCGCAACGACCCCGTGCAAAATGCGCACTTTCTTCCAAGGCGCGATGGAAGTGTCGATAACCCTGACAGCATGTCGGCTGTTTGGCATTTTAAGGCATGTCTTCAAAGTACTTCGTTTTACAATAGACAGTTGCGGGTTTGTTCCGTTTTCTTTGGGATTGTAAGATGAAAATGGGTTCCCATTGCCAACAAAAACGTGAAATCTTTCAACGAAAGGTGCTAGCCGCCAGACGACCGGGTTCTTTCAAGTGGTCATGCGTATTCGTGCGCGGCAAGCATTGGTCTTGCAAGCAACTTTCTATTTTTTTCCGGATATACTTCTTCAAGCTTTGCCACTAGTGGTCAAGGCATTGCGTGCCAGAGTCCTGATTAGAAGTTTTGGAAGGTTTCCAAGTGAATTCAATTTCCGAATGCTTGGCCTGAAACAGCTTTTGACGCCAAAATGTAGCATGGTTCTTCCATGCTCTGCAACCATCAGCATAAAGGCATAAAGGTGGCCATTGAACGTACACAATGTCTTCATTTAACGTACAAAGGAACGTGAAGCACACTTATACACTGTCTTCATTTAACGTAGAAAAACCGTCAATTACACTTTCCTCATGTAGCGTAGACAAGAGAGTCAACGGTTTCTTTATGTTATGTAGACATAACTTGTGTATGGCCGCGGCGCAGTAACAGAGACCACAACTGGAAGCACAAAAATTAGCACCAGGCCATAACACGCAGGCCATCAATCTAATTGGATACCGAGCGATATTACCTGCCAGCCCATCCCCAGGCCACACCATCCCCAAAAATGTGGCAGGCGTGGGAACACTAGGGAGAAACTTGTTGTTATAAGCAAGAAACGAAAAATGTCACAGGCGTGGGAAAGTATGCGCATGAATTTGGAGGGCCACCAGTTGTAGCTATTTGCAAAGACGCTACCCCCCCCAGGGTCGTTGTAGCTGGCGTGAGCACAAGCAACATATGTTATATGCAATAACATATATTTTATGTTGGAGATGTTATCTTTGTCACATATGTTGTATTTGTAAAAAATGTGTGTATGTATGTAATGTAGACTCTTGATTGGTAGACACCCCATATGAAGAGGTCGTTCAATCCAAAATGTAATGTCATGATATGCAATGGTACGTATTGGTACGTATTGGCTTGTACTTGTGTATATTGGAATGTATGTATGAAGGTATATATGTATGTGTATGTGTATGTGTATGTCTATGTCTATGTATATGTATATGTATATTATATGTATATGATATGTATATGTATATGTATATGTGAAGCGTATACATGGCGATACGAATTGCTTGCGCAAATTGTAGCGCTCGCTCTTGCCTGCAGCAGAAACACATGCGCAATTCTCTGACATGTGTTTTGGAGCTTTGTGCATGCAACTTTCGACTTACTCACTAGTGCTTTCTGAGGCCAGTCGCTATGACACCCAAGTGCTGCGAGAGTACCTGCTTGAGCAAGAGGACTCATTCTTCCCCTCCCCTAGAAGACAAAGCAAGAAAGAAAAATGCAAGAATCGGTAAGGTTTGGCTTGAATCTGTCTCCCTCTCTCTCTCTCTCTTTTTCTTTTCTCATTTTTTCTTGATAACACCTGCAAGGTCACATAAAGCATGATTTGCGGACTCGCCAACCCTTCAACCTCAAACCTCTTGGAGACTGCATCTCCCAGGATGGTGGCGCAAGACCACAGCCTGGCGAGGCACACTTTTGAAATCCCTGTGAGAGAGGTTTGACATGATTTGAGGTTGCATACAGAGAGAGGTTTGACTAGTTCACAACGAATTGCTTCTACTGCTGCAGACGGGGATTTTGATGTGCCTGATTCGTTAGGATGCGACTGACCAAGCCACTTTGCCGGACATCTACGATCTTCGGTCCAGATGCTTCAGGAGGCGTCGCGCTGGCTTTGCTACCACTTACGAGCATGTTGAAAGACAGCATGTTAAAAGGATTCGAGCACTCTTGGTTGCAACTTGCCTGCACTTGTGTCTTTGATGGTCTTCGGCCATGGCTATGTGGTTATATATATATATAGTTATATATATTTTTACGACACCTCTTGCAGCTCGCTCAAAGTTACACCTTCTGCTTGTCAGCCTCCGGCGATGCCTAGGTGAACTTCCTCGCCTACTGGTCAACGGCCAGCTACTGTGGGTGCTCCGATTCGGGACAAAGCACCCAGTATACCTTCAAAGCATGAGGAACCAGGACCAACTCAGGCGGTGTTTGCACGAAGCTCCATGCACCCTTTGCGTCGAGGTACTCCTTTTACCTCCGTGTGGAGGAGATCGGCACAAAGGCAAGCGACAAGACACTGTGATTCAAGAACGCCACATGCCTAGAAGATATATAAGTTAAAGTTAGATAAGCGGCTTTCCGTTTGCAGAAAGAGTTAGGCACATTTTCTGGTTGTCATTTAAGTTCTGTACTTGCGTTAGCTATCTTAAGCTCGAATCTATCATATGTGATTGCTCATGTCCTGGACAAGCTTACATTGCAGGCCATGCCTCCTATGGAGGTTGCGTTGGCATGTGTTGGCACCTGAGTTGAGGGACAAGAGGGCCACCAAGCAGCAGAGGAGAATGTGCACAGCACTGCCTTCTGCAGCCAGATGGTGGCAGGGTTGAATAGACTATTCAAGTAAGCTGTCTATTTTTGCGTTTATTTCCTGCCTGCCCTCCTTGCGACTTCATCATGTGCTATGTGCTATCCTTGAAATGCTTGAAATGTAGAGGTGTTTCTTCTCGGGACCCAAGCCACATTGGAGCTGGCGGCTTTGTCCTGAGAAAGAGAAGTACAATGCAATACAACTTTCTATTTGTCGGACGGTGATCAATAGAGAAAGAACCACCTGAGAAGTCGTGGAGCCACCGAGGCTGCAGTCTGTTTGACACAGCCAGTGCGGCTGGGTGATGGGAGGAGGACTGAAAGGTTTCTTGCGGACGTTGAACATGCTGTCCAATTGTTCGTTTCGGTGTTGGCGCACTTGCTTGCGTCTCAAGTTCGTCAATAGTTCACTCTTGTCGAATCTGTCAGTAGTGGCTTCACGAGTTGGGATATGCTAGCTTGGCTAGCGGGAGATGGGACCTCAGACATATGAACCAGTGACATCAACCAACCAGCAGAAAGATGCACCAACATGCAACAAGAACATACGATGGAAAGCATGCAGGAATGACAAAACTACCGCAGGGGATTCCTTGCATGTCAACAAATTGCATGTTTGATTTTGTTGGTCTCGGACCATGAGGCTGGTGCTCGGTGCTCTTTGCTCCTGGATGTTCTTTGTCTTCCCTTGATGAAGCGTGGGCATTGAGCTTAGAACACACTACGATATTTTTTCCTCAGACAGCTGCAGGCTAACTTCTCAATGGTGTGGCTGTGGATCGGCGTTTTGGTTTTGTGGGTGCCGCTGCCGCGCTGATGCTGGTGCAGGGACTGGATCGGCGCTTTGCTTTGCCCTTGCTGGTGCTGGTGCTGGTGATGGTGCCTGAGGCCAGGGACGACACCATGTCAGGCCAGGGATGACATCATGTCATGCCAGGGGCGACATGATGTTATGCAAGGGATGACATGATGTCATGCCAGGGATGACATCATGTCATGCAAGGGATGACACCATGTCATGCCCAGAATGACATCATGTCATGCCAGGCATGACATCATGGCGCGCCAGGGGTGACATCATGTCATGCCCAGAATGGCATCGTGTCATGCCAGGAATGACATCATGTCATGCCCAGAGCCGACATCATGTCATGCCAGGGATGACATGCTGTCATATTGTGCATGACAACGTGTTGTGCAGCAATGATCATAATGCCGTTTGGGCAGCTTTGGCTGGTCCTTGCCCATCTTACAACTTTACGTCTGTGTCCCGCAAAGCGGGCGCATTCTGGACTGGTCTGATGTTGCGTGCTGCGGTGACAGCTGTCCGTGGCGTGCCCTTTAAAGCTATGCACCCACTATCTGGGGTTTATGCCGGTGTAATTAGGATTCAAGACTCGCCGAACTTGTGATTGTTTTGAAGGGAGTTCTGCATTGGCAAGAGGGAGAAAGCAATAATTATATACACATAAGTATCCTCAAAGCTTTGCACGACAGCATGCAGTATCGTAAAATGTTTCCAAAGGCACTCATTCCTTTTGGCATTTGAGACACCAAGGTCCAAGTTGCTCTTCCTGCTCTCAGCCAAGTGCTCAGTGGTAGCGGCCTCAAATACTGCAGCTCGCCTAGCAGTCTAACACCTCCCTGAGGCCAGCACCTTCGTATTTGCGATTGGGCTGTTTGTTTTCACTGTTGGGCACCTAAGCACCTTCAATGAAAACTGTGAACGTGAAAAAGGGCCAAAGATCAGTCAATCAACCTGAAAATTTCAAACAAAATGTTACTTGTACAGTGTAGTTGTGAACCATGTTGAACCTACGTTTTGGCCGGAGATGGCACGTTTGGAATGATTGCGCTGCGCTCCATGGCAAGGTGCAGCTGCGACTCTTGATTGGCATGTTCTGCAGCCGGGACCACTGTCCGCATCCATGTTTTAGATTCTGTGTTGCATGTTACATACTTTGACTGGCTCCCAGTCTGAATTATATTCAGCAGAAATACCTTCTAGTCTGACAACAGAATGGTAATTGCAATGATATGTTCAGAGCATTGTGGCTTTTGCTTTGGTTTGACTTATTTTTTTCCCGGAATGGATTGTGTGCTTGCCAGTTTCCTATGACAAGCCCGACCTGTTCTTCAAGGGCCGGGATACCAGTGGCCTGATTCTTGATAGCATTTTGCCACAACGCCACTCAATGTTGAGTTCAATAATAGAAGAGGCACACACACATGGGCAAACAACTACATCAACTACAGTGCTGTTGGTGCTGGTGGTGGTTGAAACCGCAGAAACAACGACATTATTTTTGAGGTTACAAAAATCCAAATCTTTGGTCTTACATTTTGCTTTGTACTCCGACTCCTTAAATGCCGTCATACCACATTTGGCGGGCACTTGCATGCCTGGACTTTTGGTAATCCTTGAGGATTTGCAGCTTAACTGGAGTGGAGCAGTGACAGCTGGAGATAGCTGCAGAAAGAGC